CCTCTTGCTTTTTGCAGTGATTCTCATCTCTGCGTGGTTCACTTAGGGGGTCTCTGGTAAACTAAGGCTCTGCTAGCTAGAGTCTTATAATACAAATACAGCTTAATTTTTAAAAAAAATATTGTTCCTTAACTTTATAAGACATTTAGGAGCTCACACTGGATTGCCTGGATCCCAGTGCAATGCCACAGCAGATTTGTATACCAGATAGATTATAAACCTTACAGGAACAATTGATCAAACAATCTCATTCCTTTATCATCAAAATAGTAATAGCTTGAGACAAGAACTTGGTACTTCTAGAGAATGTACATGTCAGTTGTAAAAACTTGTTCTCAGTGTCCTCAATTTCTTCATAATGGTGTTAATCCTCAAAGACTTATACCTAGTCAATTATGGCAAATAGATGTTACTCATTTCTGATTTTGGAAAATTAAAATATATACATGTGACTTGACACCTTTTCAGGATTTCTAGTTGCAACTGCTTTAACAGGAGAAACAACTAAAAACATAATTACTTATTGCCCACATTATTTTTCTATGCTTGGGGTTCCATATCAGATTAAGATAGATGATGGAACTGGCTATTGCAGTCAGGCATTTGAGATTTTTTTTTTGTTGACAATTTGATATTACTCATATTATTGGGATTTCCTTATACTCCTCAATGACAAGGTATTGTGACACTTTAAAATACTGTCTTCATAACTCTCTGAATGTAAGAGGAGCAGCTACTGGCGCTTCTGCCCTGGTTTTACAAGGATCTCTAAAAATTTGGCTTTTAAAAATAAAAGAGAGGGAGTTATACCCTCCATGGTCACCAAAAGTACACCTTACTTTTGACTTATTTGTTTTAAATTTTTTGCAAACTGATGCTAAAGGTCAGTCTGCAGAGGATTGCCACTGGCATCCAGTCGCTTCCAGCTCATATGCAATGGTTAAATGGAGAGACCCCCCCTAACTAATACATGGAATGGTCCCGACACTGTTTTAATTTAGGGCCGTGGTTCTGTCTGTGTTTTTTCACAAAAAGAAAATGGAGCCTGATGGCTGCCTGAAAGATTGGTCTGTCAAGTGGCTACAGATCTTGAGCCTAATGATTATGATTCTAACGAGGAAGGTGGCTCAGAATCCCGATCAGCCAGCTGAGTTAACCTGGAGTGTAGTCTCCACTCTTACTGGAGAGCAAGTGTTTTTTATCAATACTCAAAGCCACCCTCTATATACCTGGTGGCCAGATGTTGTGTTTGATCCCTGCCATTTAACAGCAGGATTAGATACCTGGAACATTCCCACTTACAACTTTAATTTCTACACTGCTTAGACCATTAATTAAAATCCTGTTGCTTTTAACTTTTGGACCATATATCTTAGACAGATTGTTTGCCTTCATACAGGATCACCTTCAGCAAGCTCAGCTATTCACCATGGCAGTTATCCATCACTATGAAGAATTGCATTGAGTGCATGCTCATAGGTCCTTTGGTCTAAATGTGGCTTTGGTTTGTATGGGAAAGAGTGTGTCATAGAAGGCAGGTAGTCAAAGACGGGTAAGAGTGTTCTTGAGCTCCTATAGACCTAAGACAGAAGCATACATCAATAATGCTATGTATGTTCTCCATGACGGGTAATAAGGAGAAATATAGACACCGACCTAAGGCAGGCACGGTTACCCAGCCACTCTTTACCCTAGACAGGATGATGGAAAACAAGTAAATCTTGTGTTCCCATCCAGTTATTGGTACTACTCATCTTTTAAAAACTAATAAAGGGGAATTGTGTCCTCTGGTAGCCTTGAGCAGGCCAGAAAGACTTTGTTTCCACAATAGACCTATTGCAATAGGACCTAGGAGGAGTCATCCACCTTGGCTGAAGGTACAACTTCATACAGGAACTTAGAAGAATAGACTGTCTGCTGAGCTTGCCTTGTAACATAATCTGGCTGAAACAAAGAATGAGTTAGGTGGGGCTTTCCCTATAGGGAAATACATATATACAAGAGCTGAACATTAAACGTGGAGCCTTGATCAGAAAACTTTGTTTTGGCTTCATACTTCTCTTGCCCCTCCATCTCCTTTTCATTTCCAGCCCCTCTTTCAGGTAAACCCAGTTCATTCATGACCACTGGGAGGCTACACAAAACCTCTACTATAGGAATGTCTGAAAGACTCGTGTTGGATGGTTCACTTAAGGCCATGGAAGCAAAATCCTTAGCATAAGTTGAAGGAAGGGGCAGAGGGTAGGGTTGGGGTCACTGTATCCCTGAAGACTGGAAAATAAGACCATCATGGAGCCAGGAAGCATTAGTAGGCCAGTCACCAAACAAGCAAGGACTAGGGACAGTCAAGGCAAATCTACAATCGCACTATTCCCCTGGATACCTCTCTATTAAGCTCTGTCGGGAGCCAACTAGAAAAGGCTAAGGCTAGCAGGTGACCTTCTTGGAGATGGCCCACTATTTTGTATGTCTTAGGATGTATGAGCTCTTAGAGTCAAGGTCCCAAGAGACTTCCTCTCAGGATAGTTCCTCGCTGCTGATATTCCTCTCCTGCCACTATTACATAGCCTAAGGATTCCTGGGTATCAGCCCACCCTATTGGGCAGATTTATTGCAGCCTAAAGAGCAACTTTCATGAATTACTGTTATTTAGATGAATTAATGATTTTATAGAACTCCTGATTTGAGTCAAATAATTTTAGGAAACCATTTAAGGAGATGGCTTTAGTTGTTTTGCCAGAAAGATGTAAGAAAGGTAGAATCAAGAACAGAATGTGCCCACTCCTAATATAATAGTAAGTAAAGGCTACATAGTAAGAAATACAATGAGCTTACACAATTACACTAAAAAGAGAAATAGGCTTGGGACAAATTTATGACCAAGGAAAAATGTTCATTCTAGGTCAGATCAAAGGATGAAGTCACAGGTGTACACTATGCTAAAGCGAGGTCGTGTAAGCACTGTTCCTTTGGACTTACAATGAGCTTACAGAATGAAATACTGCTTTGAACTTGTTACTGATATCCTTCTGCTACTTCCTTTTGTGTAACATTTTATCTATGAGGTAATTCTTTCTTACATAGAGAACTTTTTCTCTAACAGCTATAAAGAACCAAAAGCAATTTTAAAAAGATTTGTTACTGTTTCTGCTTCACCCAAGGTATGTTTGGTCTGTGTGAGTGACTTCTTTCCTTTTTTTTTTTTTTTTTTTCTGGCCAGTGAGGACCTCCTAACTGACTCACCAGAGAAAGGAGCTCTAGCAATAAATCCTTTTATTTAATCCCCTGCTGCTAAACAGCATGTGTTAATTTCCCAGAAATTAGCACCTAGTTAACCACAAATAATAAGAAGCTACAGAGTAAGAGACCAGCGTTTATTTAAGCTTAAAGAATTATGGGGGTGGGGGAATTGCACTTACTTAAGCACAGAACAGTAAGAAAGAGTTAAGTTTCAGTGCTTAATAAAGCACAGAGAGTCAAAAAAGTAAAAATACAGTGTTTAATAAAGAACAGAGAGTTATAAACTAAAGATATAGCATACATTAAAGCAGAGAGTTAGAGAGAAAAGAAGTCAGAGGTTTTCAGCCACAGAATAAGCAAGAGGATGTTAAGTTTCCAGAGACCATCAGCTTCTAGCCCCAAATACAGTTGGAGAAAGTTATAAGGCCAGGGATCTGCCCCCCCCAACCCCTGCCTTCAACCCATGCTAAGAATTTTGCTTCCACAGCCTCAAGTAGGATCCAACTCTGTGTCCCACCTCAGCTCCATCCCTTAAAGGCCAGGGCAGGCCCTTGTCTAAGCTCTAGAGTAGTTTTGGAGAAAAGCTGCTGGATTTTTCCAGATTTAAAACTTCCTATGGGATTGGTAAGGTGGCTCAATAGTTAAGTGCTTGCCTTGCAGTCCCAAGGACTTGAGTTCAGTCTCCAGACCCATGTGAAAAAGCCAGGTGTGACAGCACACATTTTTAACCCCATGGCTGGGGGTGGGGGTGGGGGTCAAGATAGCCAGATCCCTAGGACTTGCTGGGCAGTATGCTTAGCTTACTTTGTGAGCTCCAGGTCTCAAAAAACAAACAAACAAACAAACAAACAAACAAACACCAATCAACCAATGAAACAAACAAACAAACAAACAAACCCAGAGCAGACAGCTCCTGAAGAACGATATCTAAGGCAGAAGGCTGTCCTCTGAATGCCACATGCATGCACACAACCTGCATACACACCTGCTCGTGCACACACACACATACACACACACACACCTGCACACACGGGAACAACCACAAACACATAAACACACACAGAAGAAATCGTGAGAGGAGAGAGGAAGAGAAGGAGAGTGAAGAGGAGAAAGAAAAAAATATGGAGGCGTTGGCCCTTTGGTTGACAGAGGCTTCACATCATCCAACCCTTCCCTTGCTGGAGTGGACAGTCGGGGTCCCCAGAACTCATCCCTATCACCTCCCAAGAAGCCTGCATGACCTTGAAACTACACAGAAGCTTCTGTGATCAAATGAATGAGTGATTGACAGATGAAGTGAACAAAACATACAGAATCAATGTTCCCTTTCCTATCCCCAAATGTCACAATTTATCAGAAGAAACATCCCAGACTTCCATACACCCATTTCCTCCACTGTATACAGTCATTGCACATTCTCGGAAGTGGCTGCTGGGAGGTGTCTGGTAGCCACACCCAGATAGGCTTATGGAAAGTTCCCCAGTCAGGAGCTGGGCACTGTTTCTCAGCAGCTGAGAGAGGTTTTGAAATCAGCTAAAATTTATGATGGGGGCAATCCATGGTATGAAGGCTTTTCCAGCCCTCAAAGCTTCTCTGCCAGCTGTTGGGGGAAGAAAGGGGAATTACCCAGGGTGTTGGGTATGCCCATCTGTGAATCCACTATTTGGCCACACCCACCTCCCCATCCTGGTGGCTCACCCATCCCTGTGGCTCACCAATCCCCAGCCCTGCAGAGGGAAGAGCTATTTAAGGACAGTTGGAGTTCAGAAAAACCAACACAGGTCCTTGAACAAGAAACCATACCACCATCCGAGAGGTACATGCCAGAGACTCCTGCCCTTTGGATGCATTTGGGTGATTGTGCAGGTACATGTGAGAATGTGTGTGCATTTGCACATGCCTGTGGATGCATGCGAGAATGTGTGTGCATTTGCACATGCCTGTGGATGCATGTGAGTATGTGTGTGCATATGGACATGCCTGTGGATGTGAGCCCCCATCAGGTAAACATGTATGTGACAGCATTCATGGACAAGTATGTTGTATGGGTTTGTGAGGGTGCTGGGGGGAGAATCTGAGAGCATGTGTGTTTACACGTCATCAGTAGCAGGTTAGAAAGGCATTGTGCGTACATATATGTAATTGTCACAGGGTTAGAAGGGCAGCATGTGTGTATGTACATGTAATTTGCATAGTGTTAGAATAGAAAGGCATTGTGTATGTATATACGTAGTCAGCAGAGTCAGAAAGGCTTGCAAAGAGAATGTACAGTTTTAGTTGGGGAGGAAGCTGTTGGGCTCAGACTCCGTGGATGGGATTTCCAAGCCTTGAATCTAACTTGAGGATGCAGGTGGAATATACAGTGAGGGGAGACGCTGCCTTCAACCCTCGAGTCCAGTCTCCCAGGAGGACTGAAGAAAGTGCAAGGATGGTCCCATTACCACGTCGTTCCTGTATGAGGGACAGTTCTAGGGAGCCAGGAAGGGACAGAGGTGACTTGTGTGATGCACAGTCAGAAGCCACTCTGTGTGCACTCTGTCACTTAGCCCCATGCAAGTGTACAGGTGTGCTCTGGGGCTGCTAAGTCAGACAGCTGAGCAGGGGCTGGGGTAAAGGCTGAGCTGTCCTGGGAGGAAATGCCCAGGCCGTCTGTTCTTGTCCTTCACAGAGCTGACAGCATGAAGGTCCTCCTACTGCTAGCAGCTGTGATCATGGCCTTTGGTAAGAGTTGACCCTGAACTAAGCACAATGAGAGAGTAACCTGAGAAGGGAGGCACCCTATCCCCTGGTTTTCCTTCCTGTGGGCCTGACCCTTCTTCAGTGTGAGGAGGAAGAAGCCATTTGTGGAGAGAGAAGGTAACAGAGAGATGCCATCCAGAGATGGGGCAGAGATGGGGCAGAGGGTTTACCACCCTTTACCAGGTCATTTCTTCATTTCCTTTCAGGTTCGGTACAGGTCCAGGGGAGCATTCTGGAATTTGGGAAAATGATTCAGCTTAAGACAGGAAAGAAAGCTAGCACTAGCTATGGCTTCTATGGTTGCCACTGTGGCGTGGGTGGCAAAGGAACCCCCAAGGATGCCACAGATAGGTAAGGCCACCCCAGTCCTCCTATCCTCTGTCATTCTGGCTGGGACAGGACTAGGAGGGAGCCGGTACCCACTACCTCAAGTGTCCCAGTGGATCCCAGTCAGCCAAGGTCAGCACACTGGGAGCTCTGCTCTGGACCACTCCAAAGTTCTTGAGTCTCTGCTCAGAATCAAAGGTCAAAGGAAATGCTGGGATACCAGGCAGCCTCAGTAAGATCTGTCCCCCAACCAGGTGCTGTGTTACTCATGACTGTTGCTACTACCGTCTGGAGAAACGCAGATGTGGAACAAAATTCCTGACCTACAAGTTCTCCTACCGACGGGGCCAAATCACCTGTTCTGGTAAGGAAGACCCTGAGATGCCCAGCTGCTTCCTTCACGAGATTGTTGAACACACACATGCATGCTGGGAACTTTACTGGTGCAGGCAGGGAATTTATCCCTGCTTTAAGAACCTCACAGCTGAATAGGAAGCAAGAATAAATGGTGAAGAGGGTGGTGAAGACCCCACCAGGAAGTCAGCAAAAGCCTTAGCCCAGCCTGGTGCTTGAGGTGGATCTTACAAGCAACAGGATGGAAGCTGAGTCCCAAAAGTTTCCTAGTCAGTGAAGCACACATCCCCTAAGACAGAGTACACACAACCAAACCCCAAACAGGGTAGAGCATGGCCAAAGGGTCAAAGAGGACAGGGTCAGTCACTCTGCTGCCCACTGGACAGGTGAGGATGAGTCTGGGCAGTGGGTCAATGAAAAGCCACGGTCAAGAAGCCAGGTCTTTCTGGACATTGTATGCTCCAGCAATAGGGACCTATTACTTAGCAAAGAAACAAGAAGCACATTTGAAGGAAAAAAACGACGCAGGCTGCCTGCAGACCGGATGGGTCTCAGGGAGGGGACACAAATGAGCCAGGCTGCCTGCAGGAGAGAGTGAGTCAGGATGTACTGCAGTCTTGCTCAGATTGGAAAGATGTGTGAGAATTCCCAAAAGTATGTTGCCAGGTCTGGTCAACTTCTACAGCACGGGTTCAACCCTGCTCCTGGGCTCCCAGCACACTGCCAACATCTGTGCTTATTCTATAAGATGTGCTAAACCCCCAAAAACCCAGGGCTCTGTGGCTTTCCCTCACTAAGACTCTTTGGAGAGGGGAAAATGAACACTTTGCAGAAGCCCCAGTTGAGTCCTTCCTTTGGAACTTCAATCAGGATGCTACGTTAAGACCAATCTCAGGCAAGGAGAGAGGGTGGACAATACCGGCTTTCACCAAGTCCATCTATCCTGAGGCCTTTGCAGCTAGGGCTTACTTACACAGGCAGGCCTGTTAGCAAGAAAGCAGGGCCAGCTATGTAGCTCAGCTGGCTGGGTGCTAGCCTAGCATACATGAGGGCTTGGCTTCCATCCTCAGCGGTGAACCAAATGGGCAAACTTTAGAATGATCTGAACCCCAGCAATCATGTGGAGGCAGGGGGATCAGAAGTTCAAAGTCATCCTCAGCTACTTAGAGAGCTCAAAGGCACCCTAAGCTACAGAGACCCTTCCCCACCTCACCCCCCAAAAAAAGCCCTAGAAGAGGTTGGCTAGGGAGTGAGACAATCCTCTGCCAGCACCATGTATGGTCACTGTGTGTCCCCATCCGATGGTCAGATGGAGTTCTGCCTTCCCAGGAACCCTAGTGCTTGTCTTGGAAGAGTCAGGTCCCCACAAGTGACAGCCACGAGATAGTAACCATCAGCTCTGTGTCTGTTTTCCCCTTATTTCAGCAAACCAGAACTCCTGTCAGAAACAGCTGTGCCAGTGCGATAAGGCCGCAGCCGAATGTTTTGCCCGGAACAAGAAAAGCTACAGTTTAAAGTACCAGTTCTTCCCCAACAAGTTTTGCAGAGGGAAGACACCCCGTTGTTGAAAAAGCCATCTTCTGAAACACCGGGGACACGTGCGTCTCCTCTAACACCTCTCCCAGCCCAACCAAGTTCTCCAGTGATAAAGAAAACTCTCCCCTCCCATCCTAGAGGCTGGGGAGGACCCTTCTGTCTTCACCCAGAGTGAGACACCAAAGCCTGCTGTGTCAGACTGATCTTTCCCCACCACTCTGCTGCCTTGAATCTGCCCCACTTCCACCTTTCCCTTAGCATCCAACTTCCTGCTTCATAGTACCTAAGAGAGACCTGGGAGGCTCTCACAAGTAAAGCAACTCATCAAACAACTGTGCGTGTGTTCTCATAACTCAAAATGAGATAGATATAAAGTATGAGCACTAAAAGTACAGGCCTCGAGGCTGGGGAGGCAACTCAGTCTGTAAAGTGCTTACCTTGAAAACATAAGGGTTCAACCCCCAGAACCCAGGTACATAAAGTGCACACTTATTTGCAATTTTAGAGTTGGGGAAAAAGAGAAAGAAAAAAAGGAAGAAAGAGGAGGGGAGGAAGGTGCCGGGAGGGAAGGAGACACAGAGAGAGAGGGAAAGAG